TAAAAAAGTGGAAGAGTGAAAAAGTAAGCTTCGTGGCATTTACGAAGATGCGTGTGGGGGTTGGACAATTGTGTTTTAAACATAAGATTGATGTCATTTGGGGGGGGGGGATGGGGGTAGGGTCGGTCAGGAATATGGAATGTCTCTATGGAACTGATTGAATCTTAATCATTAAAATATTGTAATTTGACAAAACGTGCATACAAGCAACGCACTTTATAAGAAGCCAGCCCAATTAGTTCCCCCGACCCCTCCCGCCACCCGCCCGCCCCCCCCCCGCCCGCCGCAGGCTCGCAACCACGTTTTTTTCACGCCCCTGAACTATATCAATAATATAATGACCCATCCGCTTTTTGTTACTGCATATTTATTTCACCAACCATTTTAGAAAGCAAAAGAAAATATTTAGCACCAAATGCACTTGCGTTATTTTTTAAACAAGAATCTCGTTTTGCATAGTTATCGAGAATTTCAGTTAATCTATCCCTAGAAAAGCATTAAAAAAAACTGAAATGGGGCTGAAAATTTGATGGAATGTGTTGTCATCGGCAACGAGTCTATGTGCCCACTTTCAGCTCGACAGGTTGACGGGACGCTGGTCAATAAGCCGTTCTCAACCTGTGGGTCGCGATCCCTTTGGGGGGTGGCACGACCCTTTCCCAGGGGTCGCCTAAGACCATCTGAAAACATGACATATACTCTACAGTTATGAAGTAGCAACGAAAATAATTGTGTGGTTAGGGGTCGCCACAACATGAGGAATTGTATTAAAGGGTTGCGGTATTAGGAATGTTGAGAAACTCTGTTGTAGAGGGACGGATGCCAAAATATATTTATTATTATTATTATTAAATATATTTATCTATACATATATAAGCTCGTTCCCAGATTCTTTAGGTTAATACTCTCCGTGTTTGAATGATGTCCATGACTATAACACTGCCAACAGATGTGCCATGTTTAAAGATGGTTCATTAACTCGTGGCACTTTCTACTTTTTTTCCTCCTCAGGAATTGATAACGACACTGTATATAGGATTCTTGGGGTTAATTTTCTCGTCTTACTTCGTGTACCTGGCTGAGCGTGAGGACGGCAGGAAGGACTTCTCTAGCTATGCAGACGCCCTTTGGTGGGGAGTGGTGAGTTGGATTTACCCATTTGAATGAGAGTGTAGTTGTTTGTTTTTGTTGTTGTTTTTGTTTTTTTGTCTTGTTGGTTGGTTGGTTTAGAGCCGGGGGGGGGGAGGGGGTGTTGTGTTGGTAAAGTCTGTCAATGTTGAAATTTTACTTTAAACAAAATATATTTTAAAGACACCGTCTGAATTATAACTGTTACGCACTGGCTACTAATATGAGAAATTAATCTTCTGTTTTAATTTTAATTGGCTCGTTGTAAGCAGTGGCTAACAAAGGACGATACCATAGAGTCAACAATATTAAAGATACGACACCCAAAACAGTTTCTAGTTACAATTAATAAGATTTAATAAGAATTAATGTAATTAAAAAAGAAAAGAAATATCATAACAAATCATCAACTTACAGTATGGTAGATCTTGTACCGGTACACAGTTAACACAGAATAATGTGCCAATGAATAATGATGAAATGCGAAATAAACACATATATAAGAACACAAAGAATAATACACGTCTCGGGAAGTTAATAAAACCTATCTGAATCTCCGTCTCTCCGTCCGTGCCTGTCAATCCCTTATATAGGTCGCGTAAGCCCTGCCTTCCAGAAGACTTTTATGACGTTTCTAGAACAATCACATTCATTCTACAAAATTCTGTTTGGAACAGATTAATTATTTTTAGTGGCTGTCGGCATCAACACGACAGATCAAAAGACTAAGCCACGCCCATCTGTGAACACAGCGTCTCATGCGGGTCAATCAGAGTGCACGCACGAGAAAAATTATGTAAACAAGCTCTATATAACAATGACATAAAAGTTCCCTCGAATTTTAAATAGCTTTTATTATAAAACTCACTTTCCTGGTTTGTCACTTTGTAAGCGCCATATCATTTTCTTAACACTTCACAGACTGGCCATACAATGTTGTAAATCTCGGAAATATGATAGAGCCAGAGATCTGAAATTTAATACGTTGTTTAGTCTCAAGAATCAAAGTTTTTAATCTGCCAACAACCTATTTTGAGAAAAATATAAATCTAACCTTCCTAAATCGACGTCATTCTTCAAGTATCACTGATGAAAGAAAATCCCAAGTACTTACAGACAACTGTCATCATGGGCGCCCGCATAAAACTTTCTAGGGGGGGGGGCAAAAAAATCGATTAACTTCCGGGGGGGGGCAAAAAATTTTTAGTAATGTTTTAATATAGTTTTAATTTACTGTAGCGTATTGGTATGGTGAACGAACGGACAGGAGATCAGCTTAGTTACTTTCTCTTTATTTTCTCTTTACTTTAATAATTTTTTGGTCTATTTTTGTCTAAATTTTTTTTATCCAATCAATCCAGGGGGGGGGGGGCAAGTGGCCCACCTTGCCCCTATCTGCGGGCGCCCATGACTGTCATGACTATTTTCCCAGGGTCTATCCACATATTACTGTGATGATTATTTTCCCATGTCCGTCTACAGATAACTGTGATGACTATCGGCTATGGTGACAAAGTCCCTCAAACGTGGATGGGGAAAATAGTGGCTTCCTGCTTTGCTGTTTTTGCTATTTCATTTTTTGCCTTACCAGCGGTAAGATATCATTTCTTTTGGTCTTTTCAGGTAGTACCATGTTACAGCCTTAAATTGATAAATGAAAGGAATTGGAGTAAAACTGGAAGAGTGCATTATTGTGACAGAAACAGGAAATACTTTAAAATTTAAAAGGGGTTGGGGGGGGGGGGGATTAAAGGGAGGGCTAATGGTTAATGTTTAGGGGGAATAAATGGACAGTTGTCATAAATTAAAACCTGGCTGCTGTAAAAATACGTTAAGGGCATTTCAAATAAGAGTGCATTATTGTGACAGAAACAGGAAATACTTTAAAATTTAAAAGGGGGTGGGGGGGGGATTTAAGGGAGGGCTAATGGTTAATGTTTAGTGGGAATAAATGGACAGTTGTCATAAATTAAAACCTGGCTGCTGTAAAAATACGTTCAGGGCATTTCAAATGAACTCTTTATTAGTAATTTGATTTTTTAAAAATTCAAGGAATGAGAGTATGGAAATGTTTAAAGTACCTAAGTTTGACTACAGACATTCGTCTTAACTCTCATCATAGCGCATTATCCTAACTTCAGGTTTAACACTCACACTAACACATCACAAATATGTTTTTTTAAACATGATTATTTTCTACGGTAAGGGTATTTTGGGCTCTGGTTTTGCTCTGAAAGTTCAACAGAAGCAGAGACAAAAACATTTCAACAGACAGATCCCAGCTGCTGCAACACTCATACAGGTAATATTATACACTAAAAACTGGGTGGCCGAATGGTCTAAACTGAGCAAATCTCAAGTTGGTGGTCTGGGGTTCAATTCAAAGCACTTCGGTTGAATGGGACCCGTTAACCTTGGATGGCAACTCATCAAAGAGAAGGAAAGTCTGAATTCAAACCCCGGAGATGGAGTCCTGTAGGTGGATAACATGGGTTCAATGAAACATTCTGACAACTCCTGCGATGCCACTGGGTGCCAGCGGCGTGGAGAGAGGCGAATCGCTGTTGGGAACCAGCTTATGTTATTGAAATTGTTTAGCGTTGATTTGGAGGCCCTTGAAGATGAATTTTAGGTAACAACTTAAGAAGGGCACAAAAGCAGGGATAAAACTTTTCAAATTAAAAAATTAACCTTAAAAAAATGTCAGGATATTCATACCTAGAAAAGTTGCATAAATTTAATAGCATGTTAATATTTGCCTATACGAATAACATATTAATTTGATCTATTTTTGAAGTGCTTGTGGAGATGTCATGCTGCTGAACCACATTCCAATTCTGAAGCCACATGGAGAATCCACATTCATGATCCTTCCAGTGAGGAGACAGTTTTCGCACGTATGGCTCGGCGGGCGAGCTTGTCACTTCGCAAGCGACGAATGTCTCGACTGGATTCTACAAGTACTGTTCCAAACCACCTTTATAGAGAGTCTATGTCCTCTTCTATGTCGTATGCCGATGATAGACTTGGTAGGACTCAAACCAGCTGTCTTTTTTAAACATTCAAAATGCAGGCCTTATTTGTTTTATTTTTTAAAAGTACAATTTCATTTATTATTTCAATGAATACAATTTTTCTGAGATAGCGAAATAAAAAAAAGTTCATAGATTAGTTCATTTTCTGCACAAGAGAATGTATCTGAACTATTTTTTTTACAAATAACCAGTAAAAAAGACTTAATCACTTATTACATAGTACTTCTTGTTCTGTTAATTAGTATGATGTTAAAATTACTTAACAAATACCTTAATATTAATGAATAATGTTGAAATTCTCAAAATTCTCCCTAGATTTTTTTAAGAACCATTAACAACACTTTACTAAATTTAGATGAATCACCCAAAAGTTTATGGAGTGCTAACAGTAACATTTAAAAAAATAATTTATTGAAATTATTTTAATGTAATACATTAGATCATGTTACAACTTATTTTGCTTTATAAGGTTCTGTTACACCAAAGACAAATAGAAAAGACAGTCAACGAACTAGTATATGTGTCGGAGAGAACAATGCCAACGAAGACACTGATTATGACCAAGAAGAACCAGAAAAAGTTCAACAGTGAGTGCCAAAAATGATATTTTCATCTTTCATATCAATCTAAAAATATTATTAATCAGTAAAGCTAAAGTCATGCTGTGGCAATAGTTTTTAAAAAGGGGTTTGGGGTGTTTAAAAAATAAAAATATCAATTGATTATTTCAACTGGAAAATTATTTAGAAATCAATAGCTTTTTTCATTTTTGTAATTATATTTGTCAACTTATTAGTTATTTTATAAAATGACCTTTTAACAATTTTTCATTGGGTTAGATTGACAGAACCTCATAAAACAGCTATTAGAGTCATAAGAAAAATTAAGTATTTTGTCTCAAGGAGAAAGTTTCAGGTATGCATTGCAATTTTTGGCTTAACATTTTTAAAACTATAAACCTTCATTGGTTAACAATCACTTCTGTCAATTAATTGAACCTTTGATCTGTATTCAATTACAGGTGATAAATTTTTAGGGGATTTTTTTAGTTGGTCTTGTTTTTCAAATGAAGCATGTAACTTGCATGCTACATTATCGCAATGCGAAATATCTTATAGTTAAACTTTTTAACCTCTAGCAAGCCAGGAAACCATATGATGTTCGAGATGTCATAGAACAGTATTCTCAGGGTCATCTCAATATGATGGTCAGGATAAAAGAGCTTCAACGAAGGTCGGCTGGATTAGAACTATTGATTTGTTTTAGCCCTTAAAAGTTTTTAAATTTAACTTTGCATATAATTACACTATTATTGCATGATGCACATTTGCATCTATTGCCTCAGGCCCTCCAAACCCCAGTGCATGATACCCTCACTAAGTGGCCCTTGCAACCAGTGAAATATCCTCAACAACACAAGGCACAGAAACATTGTAAATCCCCTCTACATGCATAGGAGCCAAAATGATCAATAAATTCGTCATGGGCCTTTAATATATAGAAGAAGAAGAAGATCTATGTGTATTCAAACAGCTCAGTTCTTTGTGCATCACCCTGTATTGCTAGTATTAGTATTTTGAATTAATATTGTATTATTATTTTTGTCTCCATTGATGTGAAACTTTGTTAACTTCTTTTAAGTTATCTTCTTTTAAATCATTTTTGTGGATTTTATCTATTATCATATTGGGACTCAAGCATAATATTTTAAAATCAATTCTTAATACCCTGAAGTTAAGCTGAATACAAAATGTTATTTGTATACAGAATAGTATTTAATTTTCTCCAGACTGGACCAAACATTAGGCAAACCTGGAAGTCTTTATGCCAGCTCAGCTAGGGATCGAGAAAAAATGACTATAGGCGCCAGGATGGTTCGTGTTGAGACTCAGGTAGGCAGTCATGCTACTCTCATATTATTGATATTCTTGATACGATGAAAAATGCTAATTCATTAACTTTTTGCATTTTTTAATTAAAAGAACATAAATTTGTTCGCTTTATTTTTTAAAATTATATCTACATGTGATTTAATCACATTAATTAAATCCATTTTTTTTTTTTTATTTTACTTTTCATTTTTAAATCTTTTATAAATATTATTTACATTGAGTAAAAATGAAGTGTAAATCATTTTACAAAAACTTAATGGTCATTAGACATATATAATAATTCCTAAAGGGAAACAGAAATGCCCATTGAAATTACATTTTCTTATAGGAATAAATACATTTTTTATTCTAATTCAAAATTTTAATGTATAAATCTCTGCTCCCTAGGTGAACCACATGGATAAGAAAATGGACCAAGTTCTTTATCTTTTAAATACTCTTATCAAGTCTAAAGGAAACAGCGAAGAATCCAAAGAAGTTGAAGTCTGAGCAGAAGTATAAATGGTGTGGCTTTAGTAAACTATTTAGTTAAAGTGTAGGTGGAAAGGTGAACAAAATTACAGATCTGAGCAATATTGAAGCTAAGAATGTTAGTGCTGCTTAGACTTGGTGGGGCTAAAATTTTATGCATGATCATAGGTGCAGAATTTCAAGTTTTTTAAACAGAAAGGTCAAGTTTATATATATATATATATATATATATATATATATATATATATACAGTGCTTTTTTTGTAAAAAAATAGGTGCCAGTACTCAATGATGGATTGCCTAACTTTTAAATACCAGTTTGCATCTCGATGCAAGCTAAATCACAACTGCAAAGATACTAAATGTCTAAAACAATTAATTATTACTTAAATTATCAATTTCTAACTGCGCTCGTTTTAATTTATTTAAATCTTAATTATTACATTCAAATTTTGAAATTTCAAAGGCATTACGTCTTAAAAACAACCATGACCGGAAATAGGTTAATAACCAATGACGTAACATTACGAGTGTGTGCGGAAAGCAGTTTCGCATTTTATATTTTAATTCTTATTGCGTGCAATTTTAAAATAATTCAATTTTAACACATTAATTATATAATAAATTAATAATAAACGTTAAAATACAAGAAAAGTAATAATTTTTTCCCCACATTGAAAAAGGTGCCGGTACGCCGTTCCGGTGTGTACCGGCACAAAAAAAGCACTGTATATATATACACATACAAAAATCAACTGTATTTTTTTCTTCGACTTATGGAATAGTCATCTATTTTCCAGTTACTGTAAAATTGACCCAAAGATTCTAAAAAAGCTCACAACAATAAAATAGCAAACCCAAAAAATACAATTTAAAAAGTCATTCATATGGTAGGAACTGAAGAAGGTATTACAGAGGGATGTTAATGTGTTGTTAAGTAAAGTTCTAGCCAGGGCTAAACTGATGTTGAAAGTCTTCAAATAAAATTCAGGGCAGGGATTTAACCAATGTTACATGGAAAGATAAAGGTTTTGGCCTCAATTTATTTTCGTATTGTTTGAGTATATAAAATTTGAAACTTATTTTGTGTGGGGAAATAAACATACAACACTAAAGGTACTGCAACTTGTCTGACTAAGCTGCACAAGCCATAGATTACTCTTCATTGATTTAAACGTAATAAAAGAAAACATGGATGAAGAATAATTTATTTATTTTGTGAATGCCTTTCAAAATATTTAATAATGATGTGTGCTTTTAAACAAATATATTTTTTCAAGTTGGGAAACTCTTCGCTATGTTAAATAATTAATATTATCTTAATTGAAGTGTCTCCCCTTCCATTAAAAGACTCTTTTTCCTTGACATATTTGATTCCATTTATCAACAATTCCAAATGTATATTAATTGCCACATGAGAATACAATTGAATCAATGTTTTCTTACATTGCTTTTTCAGAACCTGATAATTCAGTAACATGGACAGAAATATTGTTCTCTACATTCCCATAATCTCAAATTCAATTTGATGTCTTTATTTGTAATATAAAACTTAATTGTAGAGAATACATTGGGGGAATTAAGCTGAATTTATTTTTATATGTTTCATGTCAGACTACAGACATTAGATGGAAACAAGAACTGCCTTAGCCTTATTTTCAATGTGAATTCAGAGTCTGAATTGTATGCCTAAAGCTGGATACTACAATTCTCATTACCAAGCCAGCTTATAATAGTTTGCTAAGTAGCATTTTTTTTTTTATGAAAGCTATATGGTTTTGATGTTTAATCCCCACTATAATCTAGGAAATAGTATTTCAATTGAAAATATATTATCATTATCAGAGTTTCATTTCATTTATTTTAGTTACTTTATTTTGTTATTATTATTATTACAGCGATCTTATATAGGTACCCCAGCCTAGGGCTGGGCTCACTGCGCTGCACATAAAAATATTAGCCAACATGATCATGACAAAAAATGACATACATTTATTTAATTTAAAAAGCATGTGTATAAAGACAAGAAACCTATTTATTCACCCTTCCTACCCCAGAACTTTTTACATGTCAAGACATGGATGCACCCAGCAGCATAGCTTATCAGTCAGAGCGGGGGGGGGGGGGGGGGGGGGGGGGATCAGTTGGGGGATAGTAGAGTTTGAAGAGATGTGTCTTGAGTGCAGTTTTGAAGGCCTGAGTGTTCGGTATATTGTGTATGTGTAGTGGAAGAGAATTCCATTGTTTGGGGCGCAGAAAGAGAAAGATTTATCACTGTATGTTTTAGTGCATGTCTTAGGAACAGAAATAATATGCGTGTCTGTGGAGGAGCGAATCTATCCTGACTGATTCCCCCACTCTGATCAATAAATGATGCTGCTGGGTAGCCTTCCATGGCTTGACATGTAAATAGTTCTTGAATGTGTGGAGTGAATATACATGTACATTAGTTTTGTTTTATTTAATTAATGTATGATAATTTTTAAGTTCATGATTATGTTTGTTAAATTGTATGTACAGCGTTTTGAGCCCAGCCCTAGGCTGGGGTACCACACTACATAAAACCACCATTAATAATAATAATAATAATAATCTGTCGAAGAGGTGAATAGACAGAAAGAAGTTGGGTTAGATAAGAAGGGCAGGAATCCAAGAAAAAGTTATTTCTGAGAACTGAGAGTTTGTAGTCAATGTGAGTGGAGTAGTGGAGTGACATGATAACGTTTTTTTTGTCTTTAGAACTGACTTAGCAGCAGAGTTTTGAAACTTCTGTAGTTTTTCTATTAAGTGTTTTTGTCAAGCACCCAACATAAAAGAATATTCAAACCCAAGACTAAAACTAAAATGCTGTTTGGTTTTCATCTCTAACTCAATTTAACTTAATTTTTTTCTTAAAGTGCTTGAAGGTTGTGTTTTGTTAAGTTTAATATTTATTTTAATGATGATAATCTGATCTTGAAATAAATTATTATAGGTATTATAGTGTGCCTTTGCATCTCGCAATGTCTGGAGGTTTTAATATACTGTCATTTCAAGGGAGATTCTCAGAATAGAATTTGTTATATTCTTTTTCATGTAAAATCAATTACAAATTGTATGTCTTATGTAACATTATATTATTTTTATATCAGCTCATAGATGCACAGTAGTGACTCATTTTAAAGTATATGAATAAAACAGAATTATGTGAAATAATGATGTTTATAATGTTCAACTTCGTTATTATTATGATTATTTTTAATTTCATTACATCACTGTGCAGAAATATAATAAATTCAAATGAATCAACAGTAAAGTTTTAACATTTCCCTGTTAAAAGTACATTCACTTGATTTTAAATTTAATATTTATTAGATAAATCTAGAACTATAAGTAAATATTCTGTAAATTTGTTCGAGCTGGTGTATTTTTCAAACATTTTTCCATGACATATTAAGCTGGACTTGATATGACTCATGACTAAGGGTACAGCTTTTAATATGAAGTGCACACTTGACAATTTTTTAATTTTCTTGCCTTTCATTAAGAAGCCAATGCATTTCACATATATTTCAACTTATTTGTGGATTTTGATGTTTATATAACATTACATAGTTTTTATTGGCCTAAATTACAAAGCTCAATTACTAGTAAATATTGCTCTTAAAAGAAAAACTACACCTTACCATATTAAAAACTTGTTTAAATAACTATTTTCCAAGCTTCCTTTGAAAATTAAGCTTACGAGTTGGATTCAGATTTTGTTCAAATAGTTAGAGAATTAATTCATTCTTTTGAAAATGTTAACTAACCATGGGGGTAACATAGACAAACAGTTAATTTAGGTACCATACCTTAAATAATGCTCTTATTGTTATTTTTGTGCATACATTTTTGTTGAACTTCTATCTGATTTTAACTTAAAGTGATGATATTTTGTTATCATATTCAAGATACCTTCATATCTTACCAGAAGCATTGCATTTCAATTTTATTCATGCATGTAATTTTATAAGTTTGAAATGTTTTTAACACCTTGAATGTTGCATTTTTAAAGCTTTTTAAAGAACATTTTCATCTCCCATTTCTTGCACTTCAAACAAAGTAAAATGTATTCCCTGCACCTCAGTAGTAAATGGCTTTTATATCTATGATTTCCACATAAATTGGATGGAAAGTATTATATTTAAACCCTTAAATGCAGATATTGGCTTAAAATTATTTATTTTTACTGCCAGATTTGTTTAGAGTTGAGCTGGGTTTTTTTAAATCAAACATTAAGTAATTTTCTTGTTAAAAAAATTTTTTTTTGTTATATAAGAACTATGATTTATTAAATAATTTTAATTATGTGATTGTATTATTATAAAAGTAAAATTTCCCACGAACTCTTTTAATAATTTATATGCATTAGGTGTTTCAACTGTTAAAGATGACTTTTTTTTATTTCATTCATCTACCTCGCCTAGAAAAGCCCAGTCAATAGAAATATTCATGTCATAATAAGGTAAAATAATTGTGTTGGTTTAAGAATTGAGATTTTTCCTTTTAATTTATGTTTCCAATATTTAATCAAAGGTTATTTCTAGAAATTATTTGTGATGACAACCTAAATTTTTGTGTATATTTATAACTAATTCGGATGTTTAAGCAGTGTGCCATGGTGTTTAAATTTAGAACTAAGTAACAATCTTATGTAAAGAATATTTTCTTATTTTATCCTGAAAAGATAACTACCTACAAAGATCGTCAATTAAGATTTGTTTTATTGAGTTGTCGCATTTGGATGGTTAGACAACATATTTACTTCATGAAAAATTATTTCTGATGGTTTCAAAATTACAGTAACACTATTTTTTTTGACTCACATTATTGAGTAGCCTCTATTTAAATATAAAATAATAACTTTCTTATGATTGGTAATATTATATAAAATAATTATTTATTTAAAAGGCAGCTATTGATCCTTTTAAAAGGAAATTACCAGTAATTTCTAAAAAAAAATTGCAGTTTTTAACTGTAAATCTATGTATTATCTTATTTTGAATAATACAACAATTACAAGATTGCACTATTTTTTCTACAACATAGACTAGTATTTTTGGTTAATATAAGTGTTTTTAAAAAATTCACTTTTTAAAAAAGGATTACTTATTCTAATAGTTTTTATTTACATAAGGTTTTTTTTTTCTTTTGGGAGACAATATTTTAAATTTTCAACCTCTTTCAATAAACAATTAATTTATGTAAAATACTTAGTCAGCTAAAATGTTTTCTGTTTGATAAACAGCTAATTATTCTAAAAATCTGTAACAACTTCATTTAAAAAATAAATAATTTTGTAAATATTTAATTCCTTATCACAACAACATTCACGATTTGCACTTTGATATTGTTCCCCATTTTATAAGAATCCTTAAAAAATCTGATTTGGTTTGTGTCTTGCTGAATTTGACCTCATTGAGCTAAAAGGGTAATTTTGTTTCTAAAATTAAGTGCTGTTGCATCATATGTGTCAGGCAGTTTATAAAGAAGTTGGCATGATTTGATTATTAACCCAGATGTTTTATTTCCAATGAGCTTCAGACTGGCATTAATGGAATTGGTTTAAAGGGAAATAATGCAACATTCATTTCAATACAAAATTGCAGCTTGGAATAGGTTCAATTGACATTTAGATCCCAGCAGATACTCTCAATTTTGAGGGTAAAGCTCCTCATAAAGTCAATGGTAATTCAAACAAAAATTTAGTCTCTTTAATGTTCATGTATTTTAAATCATGAGAGCCTGGAAGGATTTATGGATTTAGGAGGTGGTTAATAGATTTTATTTTAATAAAAATGTTGTTCATGTCATCTAATTTAATCAAAAAACATTTGACATGAATTTGTTTTAAAAATTATATGAAGTACGTTTTCATACACTACCTTTATTATATTTCAACTATACCTTATAAAAACTTCAGCCCCCTGCTGTTATTCACTGATTCAAAAAGAGTCAAAGTTGTGTATCCACAAATCAAGTTTCCTTAAAAACCATGATTTTGTTTAAATAAATTTTTCAAATTTGTTATTCCATTTGTTAAAATCTGTGCATGAATTTTTTTTTAAAATGGTTGTTGGTAGTAAAAAAGATATTAATTTATTGACTAGTGTGTCTGTTTAATGAAAAATTTTAAACCTTGGATACACAGATTTTCCTGCTCCATTATGTTGTTTATTTTTTTTTCTTCATGTTTGTTGAAAATAATTGTCAATGTTGTACCATATTTATATGATATTGCTAGCCAGACAGTGAGAATTTACTGGGCCATCTTTTTAAATTAGTTTTGTTGATGCTTCACCTATCTTCAAAATGTTATATCAGTATTATTTATCTAAGCCATTATTTAAACAATGGTGACAAGATGAATCCACAATTTTTTGCTGATAGCATAAACTGCAAGCTACTAATCTATATTGGGTCTACCATAGATTAGACTTTGATTATATTAATTAATGAAGCAGTGTGTAGACTACTTAATGTGGATTCATATCATTTTGTGAAGCAAAAAATGTCAATAGCTCACTTGTGGCATACCTTTTGACAAATTAAATGGAAGAGATAACAAAAATTTGTGAATATGAAAAAGGATTTTGCAATAACAAACACAGTGGTATCTTGACTTAGAACTTAATTTGTTTTCTGAGTTTGGTTTTGTATCTTGAAATGGTTATATCTTGAAACCCAATTTCCCATTAAATCTTACAGGAAATTATTTAATCTGTTCTCAGATTAAAAGTTTTTTTTGTTTTTTTTAATTTTAATAATTAAATAACCCCCCCCCCCTTTTTCACCTAAATTAAGAACATGGAAATAAATAGATCAGTAGGCAGAAGAGGCATGTTTATGCATTAATATGCATTTTGTATACCATTGCAAATTTTTATTTATCAACTCTTTAGCTTTACATAATATATATGTTTGTAGTATGAAAATCACCTTCCATTAAATTTATAAAATAAAATTAAAATTCCTTGTGCACCTGTCATTTTGTCTTCATTCCATATACAGCACACAAAAAATACATAAATACAGTACATATAATTAATACAAACCTAAAAACTTTTCACTTATTGTAATTTTTTTATTACACAAATACTGAAACAGATGCACAGAAAATCAAGTATGGCAGCATCCGTCACAGTCACACACAATTCTCATTACATCATATTCTAAAAACAATGTGACATAGTAACAATAAACACCACAGATATGGCATGCCCACAAGTGTAGTGAATCGTGGTTCATATCTCAATTCTAGTTTTGTATGCAGAGGTCAAAATATGGGATATGAAAAAAGTTTATATCTCAAAAAGTTTATATGTAAAGTAGTTCATAAGGCAAGGTACTACTGTTTTTGTAAAATTAAAGCTATCTCTCTCTTTCTCTTTCTATCTGTTTATTTCTCTATTTCTCTCTCTCTCACTCTATCTATCTGCATTGGAAAATTTTAAAAAGAAGAAACTCCCATTATAATCAACTGTCAATTCATTAGTTTTATAATTTGTAATGGATATTGCTGCAGCCTTCTTTAACATTAAAACAAATATGGTAAAATGCCTTTCTCAAATTTAATTAGAAATTAAGAATATTTAGCAAACAATTTAGTAAGCCACAAATACCAACCAGATGTTATGCACCTACAGACACATGACTCTTGCTAATACAGGACATTTTAATACCCCAAGAAGAGGCCAAGCGAGCTGAGTGACTCATTTGATGTGGCAAGGGACCCACACAGAAAAGGCAGTGGAAAAACAGTATATTAATTAGCACATCTTTGAAAATTTTCAAACAAAGACTCTGAAAGAATAGGACTACTATTTTCAGTGGCATAAATTGAAATTTTGAGTGAGGGCTGATAAATAAGTAAATTTTAAATGACCAATTTTTTCCATTACACATACAAGGACCAAGATTTACCTAAAACTGTACACAGAATGTGCTGCACAAATCAAAACATATTTTCAATAAAACTGACAACACTAAAATTTAATGTGATTAAAATGAATTTAATTAAGACAAACGTTTTTATCTTGAGAGTATTCAGTAATATAAGAGCTGAAAAAATAGAAAAGGTGGTGGGAAACAAAATGTAATCGTTATTTTAAAAACCTCCCCTCTGAGCTGCTTATTTCTTCCTGATTGTAATGTTAGAAATATTTTTTTTAGGATTCATTCTAATAATGTGAGCAACAGGGTTTACAGAGCAAGGGTTGGCATAAAGTAACAAAATTAATTCTGTCTACATTTTATTTTCCTATGATGAATCTTGTTGATTACATATGGTTAAAAAGATCACATAAACGGTGGCTAGATTCTTTTGGGGCAAGGGGAATTTTTTTTTTAATTTTATATACATAAATGAATCTTCTTGCTTTGTCTTAAAAAGAGCTTATCCCTCAAAGCAAGAGATATTCAAAGTAAAGTCACCAAATGTACAACAACATCATTTTTTTTTTATTTTGTGCAACTGCAACCCATAGGGTAGCCCTACACACATACATTTCCCGTTTTTCTATTACAACTATAATATTCAAAGTTTCTTTTTAGATGAATTTTGTTATGAATTTGCTTGCAAATATAAGGGAAATCCTGGATACATAAAATCTCAAAACTTTTAACTCACATTTGTGAATCTTAATTGAAATAAATGTTGGAAAAGCCCCTTAGTGGTTTATCTTAAAGCCTCAAAATGAAACCAAAAAAATAATAATTTAAAAGAAAATTTGGGCTAAAGGGTGAACTGAGTAAAGAAATAAATTCTTCAAAGAAGATGCCTAAGTAGTTTGCTAGTAACACATGAAATGATTACATTACAAACATAAAACACCACATTTATTTCTCTCAATTATTTTTTCTAGTAATTCATTAAGAGAAATTATTATACCTATTGTTTTAAAATGCCCTCATTGAGTCCACTAGTGTCAGTAAATATTAAATTTGCTTTAGGATGAAGAAAAAAAAAAGAACTCATTTGTTTAGATTAAATACTTTTTTTTAAATTTCCAACTTTTTTACCGAAATATTTGTTTTTGACCTTCTTGGTGCATTTTACAAATTAAGTATCTTGTAGGAAATCATTTTCACTGTAAGTAGCCAAAATTAATACATTTTTGGAATAATAAAAAAAAATTCACCACTGTAACTGATTATATTGAAGACATTTGTGATAATTTTTTTTAAAAAGCAAACGCACATGAATTTCTTAATAATAATTATTATGTTATTTATATGTTCCAAGAGGAACTTTTGTATAAGTAACATTCAGTCTATAAAAAGCTTGAGACCTCCTGATGTACACATGATCAACACTTATATTATAAAACTATTTAATTTTGTTTGACAAATGTTACCCTCCTCCCATACACACAAGGCAGTGAAAGGCCACTCAAACACATAAGACAGTGAAAGGCCACCCACACATTATTTAATCCATTCTAAAATAGAGATATTATGTTAAATGGGTAATCTTTTAAATGCTCCATCCTCCATCTATGATGAATTCTTGACCTGTCACAAAGTTTGACTGTAAATAAAATGATGTTAAAAAACTTTACAATTCCATTCTTTTTTTTCTATTGAATTTACCAGATAAAACTTAAATGCAAAATATTTTTAATAACGATTTAAGTTGAAATATAAAATTTGATGGTAACTAATCTAATTCATAAGCTGGAGTCACTTTGTCTTGTCACCGGCGTGTAAGGATTTCAATTTATAATCCATTTGTTGTTGTATGACAGCTGACAGGTTGTACTAATGGTCTGTATTTAATATAGAAATCCGAATTCATAACCTATCAGGTATCATATTTATTCGATCACGTATGTACCAAATAATAAAATACTAAAACTTGCCCATCTCAAATGGGCATCTGCATTTGTTGATGAGGCATAGATCCAGTCACCATATGTTCCCAGTCGTAAAATTAAGTTGTAGAAATGGGACATTTCAGTAATGCTCATCTTGAATTGTTTATATAAACAAGAATACCAAGTCATGACTTAACCTACCTCATCAGAAGCCAAGTAAATAACTAGACTAGCAATTTCATCAGCACTGGCCAGTCTGCCCAGCTTTTGTCTAGCAATGAAGTCTTTTAGGGCCTATATATAAAATAGTTGCAATAGTTATTATGAAGTTAAAGACATCGAAATTATGAGTGTGTATTTGTTTGGTTGGTTGAGAGATGCACAACCAATATATCAATGCTTAATTATAAACAAGATCTAGCATCACTACATCTAAAAAATTGTAAAATAAAATGTGGATATAATACTACACCATACCAGATACATTACGACTCCATCTAAAATGAATGCTACAACATCCTTCATAGTTTTCGACATTTCATATACTACAATCTCTTATGATTTAAGTTGTATTACCATTATATTTCAATAATATATCTACTCAACTATTACAAAGATAGGTTAAAGGCCTTTTAGTCATTATTTTCAAATAACATGGAAGATGGAAGATGTCTACTATTCTTTCACTTATTCTTTTGCATTTTTAAGATCAGCAAGCTCTTTCTAGAATTAAATGTATTATATTAATATTCTGTACCTTGTGATTTAAATTAATTTATTTATATTGCAATAAATCTTTTTAAAAATTACATTTTGAAATAGAAAGGATAGCTCTAAGATAATTTTGCAGCTGATTATGTTGACAGAATCCATCAATCTCCTTCCAAGAGAACTAATTGTTTATGATAACTCTTTTTTTTTTACATTCTTGACAGACCATTATTACCAACTAACATTAAATTTTAAAACTATGTCCTTAACCTTCTGCAAATACAAAATGTAATTAGTCTGTGTGGATGCGCATTATGTGTAATAGTAATAAAGCTTAAAGATGCAAAATTCTTATCTCTAAAAAAATTGAAACAAAACAAACCAACCAATATAATTAAATTAATATTACAAACCTGTTCTGGATCATCTTGTGCTGCCATCCTGTCTCTTAGTGATGGGGTGTCCACTGTGCCTGTATTAAAAATTCATAATCATGAAACCACAAGTAATTTTTTAATTTAATGTAACTTATCAGTATGGTTTATGGTTAATTAATGAACGTTTAAAAAATGAACGTAAAAAGTTTTAATTGTATTATAATGTTTAACAATGAAGTCCACTTCTGCACACTTCACTTCTATTTAATTTTCAAAGTATAATACTATTAAAATACATCATACCTGGACAAACATTGTTAAAGCGGATCTTATATTGAACATAATCAACAGCAAGTGATTTTGTAAGGCCAATAACTGCTGCTTTAGTTGCTCCATAGACAAATCTATTTGGCGCACCTTTAATAAAAAAATTTACAGACTTTTATAGATAGTTATATTACAGATCCTGCTATCTTAATGGTAACAATATATAAACAATACAACTTCAGACTCAGTAGCAGTTGATGCACTTACCTTTTATACTAGAAACAACAGAGGCCATATTTATGACACTTCCCCCTGTACCTTGTGCAATGAACTGAAAAAAAGATTGAACATAAAATGAAAGAAGACAATAATGATATGTTGTTCAAAATTATTTAAGTGAAGTAATTTTTTTTTATTTTAATTTTAAGGTGATCAAGGAAAAATTAAAGGAACATTAGTACAAAAATTATAAAATCCTGACCTAGAAAACCATATGTAAAATATAGTTTCAAGAATTTATATAGATCCAAACATAATGAACTCTCATATAATCAATGTTGTATATATCGATGTTTTACATATTTATGTTGTATGTAACAATGTTGCATGTATTAATGTTGTAGATAATAATGTAATAATGTTTTATAAATTGATGTTTCATATATTAATGTTCCATATATATTAATGGTTATTACCTTAGGAACAAAATTCTTGCACATGGTGTAAACGCTCTTAACATTGAGATTAAAGGAAAAGTCCCAGGCTTTTTCATCACAATCCAGCAATGTTCCATGGTGTACAAAACTATGCGATGTGTAAACAAAATGAGTGGTTAACTAGTATATGAATATAGACCTATATGTGGGTTAGTAACATTAGAGGATACCTATATGTCAAAAGAAATGCTACAGTTTACAAATGTCTAAACTAGTTTAAGATGCTTTTAAAAAAGGTTTTATAAAGATTTTTAAAATTGAAATGTTCAGTTAATATTCTTTTAAATTTAAAATCAAATAAGGAAAACTGTGTGTACCAGTAATCTAAACAAAAAAAAGGAAACAAAATAGCAAATCTTTGGAACAAAAGAGCTAAATTTTCTTTTAGTTCTAAATGTTCAAGACAATCTTTAAACAAAAACTTGGACCCACAAAAATAATATTATTTATATTTCATTACTAATAATTTTTTTCATGGGTTAGTGTTATATAAGATCAGGCTAATTCTTGTTAATTAATATGTATTCTTACCCAGCACAATTGAACAAAACATCTATTTTGTCAATGGACTTTGCAAAGTTTTCTACAGCCTCTTTATTCAAAACATCAAGAACTTGAGTCTCTATACCTTTAATAAATAAATAGCAAATGTAAAATTTTATTTATTATTATGTATACAACAAAATTTTAATTTCAGACACAAGCAAAAATGCCCATTGAAAATTTGGTAAATTTAATAAATTTTTAATAGAAATGCCCTGGACCAAGGTGGACAACTCTAGATTCTGCTACATGATGCAGGCCTTCTAGGTTTCATAGCAATTGCTTATAAAAGAAAAAGTATGAAAGACATCTAAGAATCTTTTATTTTATTTTTTTTTCCTTTAAAAAATAATATAGCAGCCAAAATGATAAGGCCTATATTGAGTATACCTATTGGTGTGTTTGAAGGTAAATGAACTACCCTACTGATTCTGTGAGAATAGATGGCTGCTTGCCCTTGCTTATGTTTAAAAACAGTGTGACACAATGACTTAAGTGCAGAAAACATCCTTATGATCAATATCAACCAATGACTATAGCTAGCTACAATTTCAATTCTATATACTTATATTGGATATAAGCTTTCATTCCTTAATTTACTAACACTAGTAAAATATGTTAAGTAATAATGCCACCATATACCTGCCACACTGTCAAGTTCTTTGAGCAGTTCTCCATTAACATCAGTAGCAATAACTCGAGCACCTTCTTTTGCAGCCAGCTGAAATATTTAACATACTCTAAATGTGTAGAAAAGATCGAGTATAGATTCACAAAGAATATTTATGACGTTTCATTTCATTTTTTTAACCTATGTTAAAATTAAAAGATATGATAATGAGCTAGAAATCTGGGCATTTTAAAATTTTTTTTTTTGTTTATCCCTCTCCCTCACCCATGTGCAAACATCAGACATGCAGTGTCTATGTTTTGACAGGGGCAACATTGAGTACTTGCTTTTGGTCTGCTAAATTTGCCACAGAGCATTTTAGTTCAATAACTTTTAGGGTAATTAGTCATGCTTTCTTCAGTGCATTGGTCTGCTACCCAGGATTTGCCCCCCCCCATTCCCCCTCCCCCCCCTTCCCCCCCCCCCCCGGTCTTTTTACCCCCTTTAACTTAAGTTTTTATGCAGGCATCAAAATTCGTTTCTTTATTATTGTAAGGAATATTATGTAGACTAATGTTGTATAATTGCACTTCCAGGAGACTCACTATGGCAGTGGCTCTACCTATTCCCTGGGCAGCTGCGGAAAGAACAACAACTTTGCCATCCAAACGCCCCATGCTGGTCTTGGCTGGTTTTATTATGTTTTCAACGAATCTGAAACAGTGTTCAATCGTATTTATACATTTATGGAATATAACTGGAAAAAGTATGCGATGCGCACTGTTGTTGATTGACCTCTTATGACTCATGCCCTTTCTGAATCATTCAGTGAATAGGCAGGTACCTATATTATATGGAAAGGCATCAGAAACAGGACAATGGTTACCGCTTAGTAAGAGACTTGTGATATTAATCTAGAGAATATCAAGCCTACTAAGTACTTGGGATAAGTTTTTCTTCATATATTTATTAATTTAATTATTTATGTGCAGTAAATGGTGCCGCTATTTTATGTGGTATTACTGCTGCTATATGATGTGTACATACTCAGAATAGGCTACACGTATTACCAACTTACCTCAGGGTAAATTACCTCTCGCAACTATTTCACTCTCCCAGTATGGCAAAATTATTTATTGTGACTACAGAAACACTAACAATGCGTGGTGCTTCTGTGAAACATATGCTTGACCCCAATGATGCCTTATCAGATTAAACACGTTTAGACCGTGACCTTTGACCCCAGTGGGTGGGGAGGGAAATACTGATAATGATAGCCTGGAATATTATGAGCAAAGTTTAGCAAGCAGCACGGCTTACATTAAACCTTAAAGTGTTATACAACTTACTAGGTCATGTAAAATAACACCAGTAGCCTACCCTTCATTAGTTGTGAGAACTATGGATCTGAACTGCATACACTGAGGGATCTGAACTGCATACACTGAGGGATCTGAACTGCATACACTGAGGGATCTGAACTGCATACACTGAGGGATCTGAACTGCAGACACTGAGTCAGTACAAAGAAAAAAAAAAAGGGGGGGGGGGGGTTGGTCATGGTAATGTAAAAGGGTGATGAGATAAAAAAAGGACGCTTAGATTGCCGTAGAGGGGATAATAAGCTGTCGCAATAAACCGGTTGAAGATTATATTATGAATTAAAGAAGAAGAACTAAACGCAATTTCTGCATAACTTGTTTACGGGAACAGGTTGAAAATACGTGACTGGTGATAAATTATCCGTGTGACCAGTGGCGTAGCTAGGGGGGGGGGCGGAGGGTGCGGACCGCACCGGGTGTCACTATCTCTGGGGGTGACACCGAATGGAAAAAAATTGCATATTTACAGAGCAAACACAGCAAACACGGTTTAACAGAATTTCATGAAAGGAAACCTATAAAAATATCACGTCATTTTTCATACATGTAACCAATCCAAATGCTTGCTTCATTAACAGTTCAAGGTTGATGCGTCAGAAATGAGGTGATCCTTATAATTAGTTCAGAGAACACCGTTTTGACCAGAATTCAACGCCGATTAAAGTGTTCGGTAACGTTCTTGAGGGACACTCTTTTGCCTAAAATGACTTTTGTATTACGTTTTTCGGCACTCTTGCTAGAATACGTTCCTTCTTTGCTGCAATCACTCATTGGTAGGATGTTTTAATTTTAACTGAACACACTGGAATCGGTGAAAATACTGTCAACAACACGTTGGAGTGCTCATCATGCTGCTGTTCAAAGTCAAACAGTGAAAGATTCGCTTGATAAATGTGTGGTGACCATTAAAACTCTATGTGATCCTCTGGAAAATTTGGATGTACAGCACAATGTCTGTGATTTCATTTTATCTGCTACCTTTTCCTCTGGGCTGATCTACTTGAGGAAATTAATCTTTAACAGCAGTTTCTGCAGACTAAAGGTTTTACTCTTGACCAAGTGGTGACCACCTTCGAAGCATTAAGATTACTTCTGATCGAGAAGCGTTGCCACTTGGTGGAACATGCTATTGAAAGGGCACTTTTAAAATAGAGTTCCGGTAGAGGGAAGATTAAAGTTTAAGAAGAGAACAATTAATAGATGCTGGACTCTTTCTCTGGGAGAAGAAAACAGTAGGGAGATGCTGGGGTTTATTGATCGCTTTCATTCTGAACACTTTATCAGATCATCAGAGATCAAGGAAGTAGTAGATATGTTTGGGGCTGTTCAACCCAAGAGTCTACTATCAGCATTGAAGAAGAGTTATTAATCTTTTTCTATGATGACTTATCAGGACATGAATATTAAAAGAAAGATCGATTCTTAAAACACACCTAAAGGCAGCTGACACAGAATTTCACAAAGTCATGGAGCGGTCAATATTTGCTGTTTTGAAATTCATAGATGAATGGGACTTCCTAGAATCTCTTCCACTCTCCCTAAACTTTCAATTGTCTCTTACGGTATGTATGTCTAGGACTTCATTTGAGCGGAGCTTTTCAAAACTAAGGCTTATCAACAACTATTTACCATCCACCATGGGACAGTCAAGGCTTTCTGATTTGGCTCTAATATCAATGGAAATGATACGTTGTAGGATATTGGTTTCGAACAAGTGGGGATTGACAGGTTTGCAGCTTTGAAGCAAGACATGAAAAATTTTAAATCAAGTAAATTTAATGAAACATAAGTATAACAAATATATCTTAAATACATTTACCTCCTGACCTTCAATTAAATTGTTGTTTTGTTTTTTTCTTGTCATTTTTATAATGTGGACCTATTTTAACAAGAAGAAATACATCGTAAAATTCGGTGAAAGGGGGGGGTGGGCGGGTCACACCATGAGTTCACCACACCGGGTGACACAAACCCTAGCTACGCCACTGCGTGTGACGTACCTACTTCAGTTAACATTGAAGATATGGCTGACATGGTTTGTCATTTTTATAATGTGGACCTATTTTAACAAGAAGAAATACATCGTAAAATTCGGTGAAAGGGGGGGGGGGGCGGGTCACACCATGAGTTCACCACACCGGGTGACACAAACCCTAGCTACGCCACTGCGTGTGACGTACCTACTTCAGTTAACATTGAAGATATGGCTGACATGGGTTAAAATGTGTGACAGGCGTTGTCATTTGAAGAGTTTTACTGAGAGTGGATAAATCACGGTGTATGGCGGGCATTTTTTGGCTGGCAATAGAGACCCAAAATAAATTATTTCCGACACAAGACGTTTTCAACTTCATATAATACAACACCATACACCAGGCCTGCACAGCATAGGGCCCGCGGGCCGCATTACTTTGTGGCCCGCGAGGTAATGAAATATTCTTTATTCTTATTATTTTCTTAATAGCTTTTCCCCTGTCCCATTTTCTTTTGGCCCGCACAAGTCAATTCCTATTTTCTTTTGGCCCGCACAAGTTTTTCATTAAGTATTACGGCCCACCTTACATTTTGAGTTGTGCAGGCCTACCATACACTCATGAAAGTTGTGCACCTGATCAGGTTCATTTGTAGGCCTACTCCTTCCACGTCAAAAAGTAACAGTTATCATCTGTACTCTTTCCACGTCACAAAGTCAACAGTTGTACTCACGTAACGTCAAAGTCATATTGTTATCAGTTATACTCATTCCACCTCACAAAATCATCCGTTATACTCATTCAACTTCACTAAGTCAACAGTTGTAGGCCTACTCACTTAACGTCATAGTCATATTGTTATCAGCAGTGGCGTAGATAGGGATTTGGGGGGATTTGGGGGCCGGGGGGGGGGGGGGCTTGGCCTCTTTAGGGGCCCCTGGCTTTTGAAATTCGACATTTTTTAAAGTAAAAAAATATTTCGGACACGCGTTTAGGGGCCCCCCTCAAGTAGGGGCCCGTGGGGACTTTCCAATTTGGAACCCCTCTCCCTCCCCTAGCTACGCCACTGGTTATCAGTTATACTCATTCCACCTCACAAATCATCAGTTATACCCATTCCACCTCACAAATCATCAGTTATACTCATTCAACTTCACTAAGTCAATAGTTGTACTCACTCTTCACGTCACAATTTTATCAGTTATACCCTTTCCCCTACTTGTAGGCAACTCATTCAACTTCACAAAATCAACAGTAGCACTCAACTTCACAAAGTCACTTTAATGAGATTGGAAAGTAGTTAGTTCTGTACTTATTTGTGATTTTGTAAATGACGCTGAGCACCTTTCGTTATAGTTACATTAAAATATGTATAGGCCTATATCTTTTTTTTTTAACGTTAGTTTATCTTTGATGTCTAATTCGACATTTTTTACTTAAAAATTAAATATCTAAGATGGTAATTATTGGAAGGTCCGAAAATTTTTATGGAGGGGAAATAGTTTTACATACCGTAATAATTACAATAACTTTTTGCTTGTCACATGGGCAGTGGGGTGTAGTGTGGTTCATTGTCCGTAGTTCTGACCTTTCAACTTTCAACTCACTTTACACTTGTACACAATACCGGTACCGGTAAACGATAAAATAGTATAGGGCCTACTATGAAACAACGCAAGTGTTCATATTCTGCAATTAAACTGCTCATGTTAAATGTTCAAGGAATTATTATATTAATTTGTTTGTTTTGTTTTGTTCATTCGTATCCAGTTCTGTCTGATATCGTGTTGCATCCCCTTCTTCCTTTTCCAACTATTTATGTGCTTGGGTCGTGTTGGTGGTCCATCCCATGCGAAGAAGTTGAAGAAGCCAAGACTATTATATTAGGCCTATTTGATATTTGACGTTGAGTAGTAGGTGGATTGCGACTACTACATGTATTTTCCGGCTTTGTGAAGCATGCTTTTCAAGCTTGATTGTATTTAGTTCGAAATACGGAGTCAGTAGACTTGTTGTAGAAGATGGTATTTTTTACACTTTTGCGAAGACAGCCCCAAGATATTCTGATCTAACCAGAATGAAGCAAGCACGCATTTTCACTGCGCTTTATAAAGGGCTTGCGCTTTAATACAGACAGCATTTTTTTAAAAATTATTTATTGACTTGTGACATTGTTATTGTTCTTCAGTATTTTTATTTTCAAGCCTTAACTTTGAAGTTGGTAGCTTCCACTGCTAAATTTTTAAATTGCTTTTGTAAATTTTAATTGTACATTACACAGTTAAAAGTAAATATTAGATTCTTGTGCACATTTTTAAAACAATAAATTATCACACTACCAAAAAATGAAAATGGGGAGGAATTCAAAACGTTTTGTTGTGAAATGATAGGCTTATTTATTTATTTATTTTTTAACATATAAATTATGAAATATCGATTAATGAGTCAATGCAGTCTATACCAAGCACTGGTACAAGAAAACATTGTGTACGTTATTGGGGATTTTTGGGAGCAAATGCAAACTGTTTTATATTTCATTTCTGATACATTCAACAATGGTATTCCATAACTGAGCGATAGCACTGTTCAAAAAAAAAAAATTTGTTGACCTCTTGCTGACCCACCAGTACATAATAATGATGCTAAATTCACCTGTGTGACCACCGGCACTTAGTAATTAGTAATAGCTTCATAGATTTCACATTCCGACAGCAGCTAGAAGTTAAAATTACAAAATTTAATGATATGGCTGAACCATCAGACAAACGTGTTCTTTCAATTCAGAGTTCTGTTGTTTTTGGTTATGTAGGAAACAAGAGTGCAACATTTCCCCTTCAGGTAGGCTGGTACTAGTGGGCCTGGTTGGTTCATGTTGGTACTAGTATTAGGCTATACTAGTAGTTAGTCGAGTACGTAGTGCTAGTTACAGCCAGTCTAATCACTGGTAGGTAGTATTTAAGTATGATTACTCTACCGATTACTTTAACTCTATACTATTGGTAGCAATTGTGCTAGCTATTTTTGATTTACGCTTAATTTTAATTAATTCATTAATATTAATTAGAATTAGATAAAATTTAAAATATTTATATTATTACTACTGACTTAGTACCGGCACATTTGGATGTAGTGTTAGATGACAAAGCTTATGAAAGAGAAATTATGGGATTCAACAAGACCAAGAAGTTTGTAGAGCAGTTTAAGTAGAGCATGACAGGCAGAACATTAGTCATTACTACTATTAAAATTAACTATTGTTTTGAAATTTAATCACATCCCAATACTGGTATTTATGGTATGCTTGTTATTTTTGTCATTTTTACTTATAATTTCATGCATTTAATTTTATTTTATAAAAGACTTCTACTTACCTTTTACTTTTATGAATATAAGTTATTATAAGAATAGATTTAAAATTTAACAAGCATATATATTATATTTAATTAATTAAAAAACAATAAATATGCTTTTATTTTGTTTTTTCCTTTCTTCCAATTATTCTGTTATCTAACATGTAACATTTTCCTTAACAAACACTCAAATAAAACTATCCAAAATACAAAGTTTTGATGTTATAAGTTATGTAAAAGTTTTGTTGTTTATTGTGTTGTATATTGCATTGAGAAGGTCTCCTGAAAATTTGGTGGCACTATCTTTTAAAATAAAAAAATTAAAAAATATTTTAAATATTGTTGGGTTTGTAAAGGGCCATCCTTATGTGACGTCACGCGTCTAGGGGTGGAGGGGGGTCACATTTTTGTGATGATTGGGGGGGGGGAGAGCTCAAGAAATGTGATGTCTCATGAAAAGTGGAATACTATAGTAAAGAATTGCACTTAATAACCTTAAATTACCTACATTTTTAACATTATTCTTTTGTACAACAATTATAATTATTTTATTTTAAACTACGATCACTGAGAGCATCAGTACAGGTATGCGAGTTCCGAGAAATGGCCTCTGATTAAGTTACAGGCCATCACCGAGGAGGAGCAAATGGGTTTAGTGACATTGACAGTCAAGAGAATTTATTTTATTAAAATCTGGAGACGGTAGTCATAGAATTAGGACTAACACATGAAGTGGGATGGAATGAAAAAAGTGGAGGAAGGAGGTGCTTGGTGGCCAAATGGTCTAAACTGACTCAAACCATATAGTTGGTGGTGTGGAGTTCCATCCCCATCAAAGCCAACATCTCAAGCACCCCAGATGGATGCGACTTGTTAGCCTTTATTTATAAATTTATAAATAGTTCTCCCACATGGTTCACATATTATATTATACATTTGTTACATGATCTCATTCTTTACTGGATGATATGATGCTCTTTTTTGTAAACTATTTACATATTTTTTTTTTTTTGAAATTTGCATTCTTCATATTATTTCCAATTGTATATGTCCCTGAAAATTATGAGACTTCTCCAAGATCATAGAGACTGTTAGACCCCTTTGCATGCATCTTATATGGTTTAGGCCATACTTGAAGTAAATCAACATTTAAAGCCAGAAATTTATTTAAAAGTAAAAGATAGTATACAGATGACGTTTTCACTTTTTTTCAGCTCCATGGTTATGATGTCAGCACTATCAATTCAGTCCAATTCTCAAATCACACTGGTAAATAGCCCTCTAAATTAGTTATTTAAATTATTGTGACATTATTCTTCATTTCATTATTTTCATTTAATAAATATCACATGACAAAGTCATCAAGTTTTTTTTCAACCCCACAAACCTTTAAACATTAATTTACTTTTAAATCTTTAAGCCATCACATTCATATTTACTATTACATGAGTTCTATGACTTTGATTAGGATATGGAATATGGAAAGGTCAAGTTCTAGGTGCTCAGGATGTAACCGAATTATTTAATGGCCTTCGAATCAACAATCTCCTAAACTTTTCTCATGTACTCACAGGTATTGATTAATCCAACATTTTTATGTTACTTGTATTATTATTATTAGTATTCAAATCACAATTATTTAAAGGATCTTTAAGCTGTTCATCGCCAAAGTGCAAAAGGATGACTTTCTTGTTTAAATTTGTTGGTGCTGTTTTTAAGGATAATTGAGGTTTTTTTTGTTTTGTTTTTTTTCTGTTCTTGGAATTTAGGTTACATTGGATCAGAATCATTTTTAAAGAAAGTTGGTGAAGCTGTTAGGGAATTGAAGGCCAAAAATCCCAACTTAAAATATGGTCAGTTTTTTTTATCTTTCTCTGCACATTTTCATTTTTATTGAATGTTGCTGCTCACTGTGTTTTTAATTTTGGAAATAATGTTGCTTGTAGTTAGAGGAATAAAAAAATCCATCGCATCTATTCCTGTGGCACTACAGCCCATGTAGATCTTAGGCCCGCCCAAGTAGATCTTAGGCCCGCCTCAATTCTTCCTTCCACTAAGACCTAACTAATGCTTTTCTTTCCCATGCTTGGATTCCCAGCTGCTGTAGATTTTTTTTTCACATCATCCATCCATCGAAGCCTAAGTGGAATAAACAAGGGATAATAAAAAGTAACATTAAATGTTTTATCATTAAATAACCAAATCCCTGATATAGTTATATACAAAAAATATATTTTTCAGTTTGTGACCCTGTTATGGGAGACAATGGTAAACTGGTAAGTTGTTTCAATTAAGCGTTCAGTAACATAAAAAAAATAAATAAATAAATAAATTTATCCCTGGTGCCTATTTTGCTTTTCTATTTTTATTTCAAGCAGCAGTTCAGGAAATAACAATCATTAATTGGATCTAGCCCAGGGGTCAACAATTTATTTTGCAAAGATCTACATAGAATATATTTTGAGAGGTTAGATCTGATATGAGAAAATAGTGCAGGCTGTGCCAAATTGTAATATTTTGGCTACATATCAGAGCCTCCAAAGAGAGAAAAATACAAAGATAGAGGAAATCGGTTACACAATAGTGTATGCTTTGAGATTTTAGAGACTTAAACTTAAAATAATTTTTTTTAAATATTTCATTATAGTGGTCCAATGTTACCCCCTGAATGTCTTCTACTTCTGTAAGATATAAACTAAATTAATGTGTGTGAAGTAGTGATAAAATTCATGAACTCAAGGGAGCCTGCCTCTATCAATAGATTTTTTTTTACTACTCTTTCTAAAGTAGGGCTTGTCTTGATTGAATAAGGTATTTAAATATATCTCTGATCTCCTCAGTATGTGAGTGAAACATTAGTACCAGTTTACAGAACAGAGATTGTGGAACAAGCAGACATCATCACACCCAATCAGTTTGAACTAGAGTTAGTTTCTCAGATTGATTTCAGTGTGTCATTTAATTTAAGCCAAATATTCCACAAAGAGAAATATTTCATGCAGTGAAAGTTAATTCATAATCAAATCTCATCTAAAGTTATGTTATGGAAAGAATACAATTTATTTTTTTTTAACTGTACGTTTTTGTTGTCATTTTTCAGACAGCTTACACAATTGGAAATAAAAAATGAAGAGCAAGCCTTCATGGCTATGAACGAATTGCATAAGAGAGGGGTTAGCATAGTAGTCCTGAGCAGTAGCACTCTTGGAGACAAGAATACATTATTATGTCTTGCTAGCATCAGAAGAGGTCAGTCTGTTGCTCCATTTTAAAAACAAAATTCCTGTCAGTGTGTTACTGTGTTTTTGCTAGCGCTGTTGGTGGTTAAAAGAATTTAGGTTTCATTTTCAATTTTTAAACATTCAGATTATCTGACGTCATTATTCAGTTTGTTTCTTCAAAAATTAACAAATTCAATAAATGCATTAAAGGCTTTTGTTGTTGTGTATCATGATTTTCACAGACTAGAAAGTCTTGGGTGAATAATATTTTTTTACAATGAAAAACTAAATTACTTTGGGTTTCTGAAATATGTTTTTGTAATAAGGGCCATCAAATCCTTTTTAATGATGTGATTCAGTTTTTGGTGGGTATTTTTTTTCTCCATTTTAGGTGAAGTATCCAAGAAATATCGCTTAAAGATTCCTTTACTTGGTGCAATTTTTGTGGGAACAGGAGATCTGTTTGCTGCTTCTCTGTTGACATGGTTAGATAAAGAGAGTGAGTTCAAGGTGAGATCATTGTTAGATAAAGAGAGTGAGTTCAAGGTGATATCATTGTTAGATAAAGAGAGTGAGTTCAAGGTGAGATCATGGTTAGATAAAGAGAGTAAATTTAAGGTTATATCGTCGTTAGATAAAGAGAGAGAGTTCAAGGTGAGATCATTTTTAGATAACGAGAGTGAGTTCAAGGTCAGATCATTTTTAGATAAAGTGAGATTGAGTTCAAGGTGAGATCATTGTTAGATCAAGATAGTAAATTTAAGGTTATATCATGGTTAGATAAAGAGAGAGAGAGTTCAAGGTGAGATCATTTTTAGATAAAGAGAATGAGTTGAAGGTGATATCATTTTTAGATAAAGAGAGTAAATTTAAGGTTAGATCGTGGTTAGATAAGGATAGTAAATTCTATATCCGGCTGCAACAAGATAGCGGAGAAAAAATTCAAATGAACACAAAAGGAAGGAAACATGGATTTTACAAGAAAATAATTGTATGAAATAGTTCTTTCTTATGAATATATGCTTAAGAATCTGCAGAGGATCAGAATCTTTGTTTCGGATTTGTAATTTTTCTCTCAACAACATTTCGTTAACAAAATCTCCATTGTCACTAAACAAAGGATAACTTCTGGCTACAACAAGATGGCGGTATAGTAATACAAAATAGGAAGGAATCTCAGTGTTTAGGCGCTTCAGTAAAGCAAGGGGGATAGTTAAAGATGATTATTGGAAATTGGCTTCGACGCAAGAAAATTCGAACTTTTAATTAATTTTTATTGTTTTGCGGTTCCATTCAGGATCAGAATTTATGCTGTTATCAACGTATTTCTCCTTTAAATTACAACTACAATATAGATCTACTGTTAGGCTGAATAGGAAGAAGCCATCTTGTTCGGAAACAGCCGGAAGTCTCTGTACTCAGCTCTCACCTGTGGTTCCAAGAAGCTGTAACATGCACAGCGACTACAACCCAGACAACGATTCCAGGCTGAGGGTAGCCGAAGGGCATAGAACTTTCGAAAAAAAAGGGGTTGTCCTCCATAGCATGTAAAGACTGAATCCGGTAAATTGTGCGGAAGAACCACTACTTGGTCAACGGGTAAAAGGCAGAGACAGCACAGTGGTGTGAATCGCTGAGAACATGACCAGACACGTAGAACGCCATGGTCATTCACTGCATGGGTGACTGGGTGGCCGAATGGTCTAAATTGAGCAAACCTCAATTTCAGCCAAAGGCCGGTCAAGCAAAAACATCACCCCGGGTGGATGAGACTCGTTAACCTTGGTCGGCAACTCATCTAAGAGAAGGAAACTCTGAATTCAAACCCGGAGTTGGAGTCCCGTAAGGCGCATACAATGTCAACTCCTGCAACCGTACCCATCCCTGGTCGTCTTGGCGTAAAGTCTTGCCACTGGATATGGTGGGCTCGGACGAGAGAGTGAGGTTGACGCTGCGCAACTCTTCCTCACTTTAAACAAAAGTCACCTGCGCAAGTCATCAGTCACCAGACGACTCGATGGTCATCGTCGATCCTCGACGGACGAACAACACACAAATTCAAAGTGAGGTTGGGGTAACAAAATGATAGTGAATTCAAGATGAAATCTTGGTTAGATAAAGAGAGTGAATAAAGGGTGAGGTTTTTTCTCATGAGAAGTAAAGAGCTTGTTAGAAACTTAAAGTTTATAAATAGTAAAGCATAAATCACCCACCCTATGTTGACTTGCAGTGCAATAAAGGGGTTATACATTAATAATTATAGATGGCTTGGAGCATCTCACCAACTTTAGATCTTCTCATCTTCTTAAATGGGATATCAGAACCGTCTCTAACAAATGGCATATATTCTGCAATATATGGATATCGTAAAAGCAATTGAAGGCCTGTATTACAGATATTCATTAAAATATTTTTTTTAATTAATCAGTGTTGTTTAAACATGTATAATTTTTTTTTTTTTTTGTATTTAATTTCTTTGGGGACTACTTTAAAATTATCAAATCTACTTGAAAGATTGCTAACAGATAAGTGTGGCATTGAGTAAATAATTATTTTAAATAGTACAGTCTAGCTGACTTCTAATGCAAAAATGTACATTTCAGGATGCTCTTGAGAAAACTGTCAGTGTTGTACAGCATGTCATCAGAAGAACATATGAGCATGCCCAAAGTAAGTTGAAAAGTCTGAACTGAGCAATTATTTTGTTAAAATAAAATAGCTGAGATTGAATAGTTTATGTTGTATTACCCTGTAGGGATTAATTTGTAAAAGGCATTAAAAAAATATTTAGAAATTCCTGATTATAATTTTTAATTTGATGAATTTTATTTTGTTAAATAGTTAATCATACTTTTTATGTAAAATATTAATTGGCAAATGCTTTCAACAGTACAACAAAAAACATTCAGTAAATTAAATTTTCATAATATATATGTGGGTGTGTATCCTTCCTAATATTAAATTTTTTAAATGTGTGTTTCAATCTTTTTAAAAAGTTCTACAATTCCAATAAATTTGAGACATACCAAACTAGACATAAACCAAACTATATGCTTGGCTAAAGTAAGATAAAATTGTTTATTACCTTTTAACAAATGAAAGCAATGTTACCAGCAAAGCTGTGTGCATCACTAATATATTAAATCTGTAAACTTTTCACTGATTATATTTGGGATAAGTGAGATCATTATAATGTAATAGATGGAATTGATGGTATTTGCAGGCATCCCTTTATTTTTGTTAGATTATTCACAATCAAGGACACCTATAGTTCTTTTTTATAATAGATATATTTTCAAGTCAATTTTCCATTAACCTTGTATTAATGTTGTGTAATTTGTATTCTGTAATATTCCTACATTTACATTTCGTTTGAAAACTAGGACTTGAATTTTAACACTTTCAAAGGAACGATGTTGTTAATTTAATATACCAGGGATCTGACTAAATCTAAAGAACCTCGTCTTCTAATTGTTTCTCATTGTTTCTGATTCCCCCAGGATTAGTAGGTCCAGGAGAGACACCATCTATGGCACAGATGGAGCTACACTTAGTTCAGTCTAAAAAGGATATTGAAGATCCACAAGTCCTGATTCAGGCAGAGGAGTTGTAACATATTTTGCTCCTTTAGTTGTTATCAACTCTTTCACTTACATTCAGGGAATTTTTTGTGTGATCAGTTCTGAACGTATCATTAATCAGATTTATATATAAATAACAAAATTAACAGAGAGCATAAAATGCAATTACCTCTTTGCTGCACAAAATTATTTCTTTGATGTCCAAATCATAAGAGCAAAACAAGCCTAAATAAACCAAATAATATAGGGACATCTGTTTCTCCAACTGAAGTACTTAAAAACTTTATTTTTTAAATCATGTAGAAATCTTTCTCAGGTGTGCTAGCAAAATTGCATTTGTTAAATAATTTTCTTTTGCAAGGGCTTATGTCTTGAAATGCAATAAATAAATAAAACTGCCACTGAACAACTGAATGAAATATTTATAGATTTAATAAATTATTTATTTAAGGCTTTATCTATTTTGATACTTATTCATAAGTTTATTGAGTTCGATAATTACATTCCCTTTTTCATTTAAATATATCACCTTAGCAGTTTGAAATAATTCAAACATCTTCTCAATTATGCAAAAATATCTTTACGAGGAATATTTTAAATTTGGCTTGATTCAGCTCCCTGGGGAAACATTGATAATCCCTCCTAAAACACAGTTTTTGTATCACTCTGTTAACTCCCATAAACAGATTGTTTACCTTGATTGTAATTAAAATTTCATTTATAATGTATTTTTCTTTCTCCATTTATACTTGATACAATCATAAGATGTCTTCCATTGTTAAAATTTTGTTCTTGTCTCTGATAATGTCTTTCTGTCACCCATGTCTCTGTTTATTTATAAAGTTGTATTTCTCAGAAGAAACAAGAAACTTGATCTCTTGTACACAATATGTGTTCAGATAGTAATATGTTCAATTAGTTAAGATTTCACTGCTACTGTTGCATGTGATATACTCTGGCATTCTTCCTTTTTGGAAAATAACTTTTTGTTTTAAAATACATGGCATTAAAATCAGTATCTTACAAAAGAAAATTCAGCGCATGTTTCATTCAGCCAAAAAAAATTTTAAACAACTATGTACTTTAAAAAAAGAAATTAGAAAGTCAGATTTGAAGTTTTTTGTTTGGTTACAGCAGGCCTCAGTTTGGTTACAGCAGGCCTCAGTTTGGTTACAGCAGGCCTCAGTTTGGTTACAGCAGGCCTCAGTTTGGTTACAGCAGGCCTGCACAACTCAGAAGATAAGGCAAGGGCCGTATGTTGTGCAGGCCTGGGGTACAGTATTAAAATAGCTTGCAAGTGTATTTACTGATTACGGTAGTTTTGAAGTGTTCGTCATTTACTACTGACATCAACTATAACTGTCTGAAAGTAATTTTGTTTTTTTCTATTTAAATCATTGAAACCCTATAGAAATGTTCACTTTGTTATTGCTTTTAATTTTACATATATATTTATGAAGGGCTGTTGTGTGATAAATTGTTACTTTGAATGTAACTATTCATAAAATGACCTGTAATACTTTCTTTGAGAATACAAAACTCCTGTTGTCATAAAATGTTCCATTCTTCTGTTTGAGTTTGTCTCCTTACAAAGGTATAAATGTTTATAAAGAAATTTATTTGTCATCAACAATTGTTTTCATAAAAACATAAATTAACTTTCATTAATGCAGTATGGTATTGTTTCCAAATTTCACTTGAGCTTTGGTCACCACTTATGCCCTGTGAGCTCTGGTCACCAGTTATGCCCTGTGAGCTCTGGTTACCAGTAGTGCCCTGTGAGCTCTGGTCACCAGTTATGCCCTGTGAGCTCTGGTCACCAGTTATGCCCTGTGAGCTCTGGTCACCAGTTATGCCCTGTGAGCTCTGGTTACCAGTTATGCCCTGTGGGCTATTGTTGTGGCGCCCAGCTACCAGATGAACTAATAAAAAAAATATTATTTTATCTTCTCAGTCAAGCAAATGTCAAAATAGGTTTACCCTGTGGGAAAGTTCCATTTCACTGCTTGTGTTCCACTTATCAAATGTGTATCAACATAAAAACTGACAGATGTCAGTGCATGTCATGAAACTCTAACCATTAAGCATGAAACCCTTGCCATTAATTTTTTGATACAAAACATTATCAGTTCTTCCACTTATTACAATCATTGTCTCTTAAACTTGTCACAATCATTGCCACTTCCACTTATGACTATCATTACCAATTTGATTTATCACAATCATTTCCAATTCCACTTATCACAATCATTGCCACTTCCACTTATCATAATGATTGCCACTTCAACTCATCACAATAATTGCCTCTTCAACTCATCACAATCATTGCCACATCTTACATTCCAGTATTTCCAGTAATGGTATTAAAAACAAAGATATATTTATACTCTCATTATGTCACATATTAGTACAGCACAATTGTATACAAATACAATCCACAAATGTTATTTAAAAAAAGCTGTATGTAAGAAAACTAGTTTTAAACTCTACTTGTAAGATTGCTGACAGATAAGTTTGGTATTGAGTAAATCATTTAAAAAGTACAGTCTAACTGATTTCACTAAGGCAACATTGAAATACAATTGTATACAATCCACAAATGTTATTTTTTTAAAATTGCATTGTAAGATTACTATTTTTAAAGTGTTAAATAAACTTGAGTATTTATTTCCCTTTCCATTTTGAAAATGAGTATTGGAACGTGTATTAGTTGTATGTGGGTGTTTGAGGGAATTACAATTAAATAGTAGCAACAGTATACATGTAACATACAAATAATTCTGACTAGTCTATTGTGCTGTAATTAAAATCACTGTGTTAAATTTGTAACGTTATATGTACTCATGGCACTCGTCAATAAATTTACATGTTTTTTTTTGAAAATGTATGGCTTTATTTTTGTTTAAGATAATAATACCTGCTAAGACAAAATGTATTTTACTTAAGGGCTTAAATAATTTTGGTCCTTTATTATGGACACGTGTCGCCTATAATGTGGTTCTGTTACGGTTAAATTACTGGTTTCAAACTTTTATGATTCAACCACTGGCCTGTACGCCTGTAAATGCACATCAGTCTTACATTTCATCACCTGACTTGCTGAGTGCTCTCAAGGCCCCCATGCACACGTTACATTCACATGTGTGACACCGCTAGCCACCCACTCACCTACACAAACCAGTTCAGTTTTTAAAAAAACGCCTAGGCCTGTCAACGTTAGGCCTCGCCCTCTTGTCCGGACAAGTCTGTGTAAACACCGTAATGATAAGTCATTGTGTAAAACCAGTAACTTTGTTTTAAGTGTTAAATCGGTACCATGTAATAGGTTACAACCAGTAGGCCTACCGCGCAGGAGCGCCTCTGAAGAACAGCTGCATACGAAAGGTC